CTTGCAAAGAAAAGACAGGAATGGGATGGGAGGGGCACTCTTTAAATGGATCTGTGAGATTTTCTTTAAACAAACAAAAAAAGTTATGAAGCAAACATGTAATAAACTATTAAGTTCTGTTAAAAATCTGGTTGATGCTTGCTTTTCAGGAGTTCTGAAATATTTCACAATTTAAAAATCTTAAATATATTTTAAAAAATCCTATACTTCTCACTGAATTTTCCTAAAAGTGTGCCTCCTCTGAATAAAATATAGTTATGAGATACCTGGATTTTTTTTTTTAAGATTTATTTATTTAGGGGCACCTGGATGGCTCAGTAGGTTGAGCATCTGCCTTCGGCTCAGGTCATGATCCGGGGGTCCTGGGATCAGCCCCACATCAGGCTCTTCTGCTTCTCCCTTTCCCTCTGCCCTTCCCCCTACTCGTGCTCCCCTTCTCTCTCAAATAAATAAAAATACTTTTTAAAAAGATTTTTTATTTTAGAGAGAGAGCACATCCTAGCGGAAGGGCCAGAGGGAGAGGGAGAGAGAATCTCAAACAGACTCCACACTGAGTGTGGAGCCCAATGCAAGGACTGATCCTAAGCCAAAACCAAGAGTCGGGCACTTAACTGATTATGCCACCCAGGCGCCCCAAGATACCTGGGTTTTTATTTAAAAAGTTGTTTGGAAAACTAATTTGACAGGACTAAGAACAGATTGGCCATATTAACCCCAAAAAGTTAAGCAGTGGGGGCAGGGGTTACCTAGCTCATGTATTGTGCCTTAATATGTATATTCCTTGGTCAAAGGACACACAGATTAGATGCCTTACTACCTGAAAACTAATCACCTACAAAAAGTTTTCTATAACCAATAACTGAGATCACTGTTTTTAGAGATAATGACCATATGCCAGGTACTGCTCAAGGATAATAAAGGAGAACCTGCCTCTACATTCAGGTTCAGAAAAGATGACAAAAATAGAAGCACACTGTTAAAATTTAATCGGTTAAATGCCAAATTAAAGTTGCCCACACTGATATGAGACAAAGAATGAGCCTGGAAAAACAATAGTGCCAATAAGAAAAAGAAAGTGAGACAGCAAGACTTGTTTGAGGAAATCTGGGTTAAAAAACAAATAAGAAAAAAGACTCTCTATAAATAGTACTGGGACATCTACAATATACCAGATAAATTTGGTTTCAGCCAAATGTTGAGATAGTAACACACCTGGGTAGAGATGGTCAGTAGGCAACTGGAAATGCTAGATGAGAAATTAGAAAAGAGGGTAGGCATGGTAAAGGGACATTAAAACCAAGGGAGAAGATTCAAGAAAAAGGACAGAGCACTGACCTTGAGGGAAATACCATGACAGAAGACAGAGAAAGCACAGAAAGTTTCTGAAACAAAGAACACTTTTATTTGATACACCCAATGACTTGTTGTGAAAGTTTCCTAATTTCGGAAATAGTGGATTCAGGAATAAGTGCAATGAAAAGAAATAAAAGTACTGGTGAAGGGAACGAGAAGACAAGTGAGGTTTTTCTAGGATAAACAAACCTAGGAATGTTTCTAAGGAGAGGGAAAGGCACAGAGAGGGCAATGATGCAAGCAGGAGAATCACTGAAAGAGCCCCGTCCCAGACGGACGGGTGGAGCAGACGGGCAGAGGGGTTGTGGGCCTGAAGGAGACCAATTTTTCCTGCAGCGAAAAGAACAGGAGGAAAGCCTAGGTTGAGACAGAGTAAGAGTATGCAGTGGAAAGGAAGGAAACTCAAATGCTTACATCAGATTGTTGTCTATCCTTCTGGTTTAAGTAAGAGATTAGGTAATCTCCGTGAGGCTGGGGGGTTTCAAGGACTGGTGGAAGAGTCTGAGAGAAAAATAGTGTGGAATCACCAGTGTACACAAACACAACACAAGCAAGGTCATTGATGATAATTACGAGTCCGGATGGGGTTAGAAAGGAAGCATTTACAAAGAGCAATGTGGAAAAAAAATTATTTTTTAATGCACTGTGGGCATGTTTTTTAAAAAAGGAAACTTGAACCTATCTGAAATATACACATAAATTAAGAACTAACACCTCACTTATCCAAAATGGTTGGGTAATAAGGTGTTACACCAGTTTCCCAGATCATCAAGGTCTACCCTTTCAGGCAAAAACATTTTATACTTAATGGTTTCCGATAGAAATCCTTCTAAACTACACATGATCTGTCTTCTTAACTATACCACTTGAGTCTCAATCTTAACCACCTACTCCTGCTGTACTGCGTGTGCAGCTAGACAGTTCTTTTTTACAGTTCTCCTATGTCTTTCCCAGCTGTCAAGATAGAAAGCAACTGGTTCTTCTAAGTTTATGTTTATCCTTACCACCTCAACAACCGCAGCCCACTTGCTTAGCAACCTACTTGTAGTCAGCCTCCTACAATGCAGTGTTTCTCCAGCTTTCCTAAACCATGGCCCCTTCCTTATGTTAAACATGAGAATCTTCAGTTCCCTTCCTTCCTCTCCCAGAGCATCAGTGCTCTGACCTCTTGCGGTCCAGGAAAATGGAAAAACTGAAACAACTTTCTAGTCAATACTGACGCTACCCTATAGATTTAGATCATAAAATCCGAGGAAACACATTCCCCACACGTCCATCTAGGACAGTCAAATATTAATAAAAACATAAGAAGGTTTGGCTTAGCAAACAGCCTTAGTCCCCTCTCAAACAAAAGGGTAGTTACTCTCACCGGGGGAAGAACAGGGATTGCAAAAGGCCATCTGAAGGCTGCTGCCTTTTGAGTAATCTTTCTTCTAACTTTTCAAACTGACTTCTTAAAAAAATCACCATGAGAATACTTACAGGTTCATTGCTCATTTTCATAAGTAACCCAGAGCACTAGTGCTGCAATTTTCAACCACGGTAAATGAAAAGTTAGAAACCTCTCCCTCTTTGTTTACTACAGAAATTATAACTCAGAACTAAACGTTATTTGAAGTTAGGACAGAAAAGAGCAGCTCTCTAGTACAAACGGATCATTGAAGTAGCAGCAAAACTGGCTTAACTTCTGAACATTTTTGATAATCATTCAGGTAGTGAAAACACTGATCCACTTGCTACTCTCGTTATTTCTCAACTCTGAAACCTTTCCTAGTCCAATGGAACTAAGTAAATATGAAGCCCAGCTCAGGTGTATCGTCATCCTTCTATGTGAGGGCTTCCCGGGGCAGGCCGATCATATAAGCCCCTCCACCTGGCAAGCAAGTTCTTCCACCTTTTCTAGCCAGGATTCCCACCACCCTCCCACCTTCACCATCGACTCCTGCCAAACTACAAATACTTGCTGCTTTGTTTTTAGTTTTGTTTTTTTCCAAATACTATTTTGTGAATAAACTTCACCCTTGAAGTGCCCTTTCCCCAGCCCCACCTCTGCTTAACAAAGTCCTACCCATCCTTAAGTAACCTCAAAATGTCACCTACTTCAGAAATCTTTTCCTCATGCTCCAAATAGAAACTCTGCCTTCCTCTGAAACCCCAGTAATTGGTTGTACCTTTCCCGCAGCACTTGAGTGCAATTCACCACGTCTCCTCCGCCTGAGCAACGAACTTCTTGCAGCCAGCGTATGCATTACAAGAACCTTTCTAATCTTTCTTATCAGCCAGCCCAGTGCATCGCTAACACTGAGTTCCAAGTTTACGGGGGAGTTGTGCAGTATGCAATCAAAAGTCCTTTAAGGGACAGAATGCTACCTAAGCATTTTTCAAATCAAATAAACTAAAAAACATGGCAAGCAGATGAATAAATACTGCAGCACTAAGAAAATAAAAAACTTTCTGCCCTTCTTACTCCTCAAAAATAAGTTAATACCAACAGGTCATTAATAGCTTAAATGGACCTTTTCAAGAAAGTTTTCAAATAAATGAGTTGAAAAGACTCCTTTAAAAATGTATTCGTTTTCGTGCTGTGCAAATTACACTTTGCCCCCTGTTGGATAAGAAAGTGATGAGAATTTCTTTCCTATCGAATTTTATTTTTATTTCTTTAGGTACTAGAGAAAGCAGTGAGTGTTGGAAAACCGCATCTAGGGCAGCACCATAACAGCCACGTACGACGCTGAGTAAAAATAAAATGTCGTGGGGTTCCATTTGCCGTAGTGAGCCCAGATGCCTGGGCTGCCACCCGTCCCGACAGCCCCCGGGTTCCTACAGGAGCGGGAGAAAGGCGCGGGGCCAGGGACCGTGAGGGACGAGATGGCCGCCTGCGGCAGCTCAGTTAAAATGCAGCGGAAGAAGCAGCAGCCAGTCACGGGGCTGCGAGAGGGAGGGCAGCAAGGTGGCGCTGCCGCCAAGCGCCTAGAGCCTGAGCGCCCATCATGGCGGCAAGGGCAATGGCCGCTTTGGGGAGCGAGCACGCCCCCTCCGCGCGCACACGCTGCCGTGCCGGGCCTCGGGGGCCCGTCACCGGAGCCGCCGCCGCCGCCGCCGCCGCCCGCTCTCCGACCCCCCCTCACGGGCTGTAGCGGAATTTTCTCCTCAGACGCCGCCTTCAAGATGGCGGCTCCCCCTCCCGACAACCCCCTCAATCGTCCCCTGCAGCAGGCGCCGAGCCGCCGCCATCTTGTCCCCCGTCCCTCCCCCCCTCGCCGATATTTACATAGCGAAAATCGGCCCGGCCGGCCTGCGGCCTTCACCTCACGCCTGCAGCCTTCGCCTCCTTGCCAGGCCTCGCCCCCGCGCGGTGCCCCGGGCAGGCCGCGGCGCCGACCCGACGCCCCTCCGCCGCCTCCCGGGCCACCGGGCGACCTTCCCCCAACCCCCGCCCGTTCACGGAGCGCGCCTCCGCCGCCGCTCGGGGCAGCCGGGCTCCTCCCCGGGCCTAACTGCGGCCTCCTCGGGGCCTGCTCGGCGCCACGCGCCGCACCGCCCGGCCTAGCGCGGAAGGGCGCCTCGCGGGCCGCCGACCAGGCCGGGACCAGGCCGCTGCGCGCGCGCTAGGCCCCACGGCCGCGGCGGCGCCCGGAACTCACCGGACGGGCGTGCGGGCGGTCGGCGACGGTGGCGGGTGCTGCAGGCCGGCCTTTCTCTGGAGCACTGGGCCGGGCTCCGGCTGGTGGGGCGGGCGGAGGGAGGGAGGAGGGGCCGAGCTCGGAGCTGACAAAAAGCGGCCCAGCTCCCCGGCACGGGCCCGCCGTCAGCACGTCACGTCACCGCCCGGGAGAGAGACCCAGGAAAATGCGGAAGGGTAGATAGGCCCCCTCCTCCGCCCGGTGTGTCCCCTTGGCGCCCCGGGTCGGCGCCGCTCACGCTCCGCGACCGGGGAGCCCAGTGGCCTCGCTGCGGCGGGGTCTCCGGCGGCCGGAGTCTCCGTGACAGCGCCCCCCCTTCTTTCCACCTCCTCCGCGCTCCCGCCCGCCGCCGCCGCTACACACGCGCCGCTGCCGCCGCCTCGGCCGTAAAGCCCGCGCGGGGCCGCGGTCCGCTGACCCCGTGGAGAGGCGGGCGGCCCGCACCCGTCCCGGCCTGGCCGCCCCCACCATCTCCCGTGGGCCTCGGCCACCCCCCGGGCCCTCCCCGGAGACCTACCGCCTCTCCGCGCCTGTCTCGGCCGAGGCGCCTGCTCGAGTTGTTTGCAGGCCCTCAGACCCCCGCCCGCAGTAAATGTGTTTTCTTCATCCCTGTGGCTGGAGAAGATAAATTTAGCAGTCCCCGGCGTCCCCTGCCTTGGCTTAAAAAAAAAAAAAACAAAACTTTGAAATAAAATGAAAATAGGCTTGCCAGTCTAAATGGGTGTGTGGGCACGAGGAGGGGGAGAAGGGTTATCTTACAGCTACTACCAAACTGTTTAATTTTTTTTTTAACATTCAGTCAGAGGACCTAAATGATTTTATTAGTTTGCAGGATACAAAGATGAGAAAAAGGGTTACCTTTTCAGACTGGTTTCGCACATTGCAATGAACAGGAATTTTTAATGTATATTTTCTATATATCTGTATTTCAGAGTTTGGGAGCCTATGAAATTTAAGTCTTGTGTAATTGTTCCATAAGTAATGAGTTTTTCACAGTCTTTAATATAGAGAGGTAGCAGAATTGAGTATGGATGTTTTTTTACAAACTACTTAAACAAGCCTTTTCAAGTTTAAAAAGACTTAAGAGAAAAAGAAAAATATGTATTTGATAAACAAGCATTTATCAACTCCAAAAATGCGTATTTGCGTTTCCATTAAATTTTTATGCTCTTTCCATACTGAACTTGGGACCCAAACTATGTTTACAACTTACTAGTTAAACGTTAAGCATTGTAATCCTTACATTAATCCAGAATCTGACATGTTTTATTTCTTCAATTCACTAAATGTTAAAGAGATTTTTAAACAGTAAAGAACACAAAGGTTATAAAGCAAATAGCATATCGGTGTGAAGTCTCTTCAAATACAGAGGCCATGTATTTAGGGTCCTGTCATAACTTTTTAAAACTCCCAGAATGCAAGTTGTCCATTCCCTCAGACATTTTACAGTTATAAAATGCTTTCAAGAAGGAAAAACAAAGGTATAATAACAAATCTCTGAGGACATACTGGATGGTAATTCTCCTCTCCAGGCTTTACCTTTGGTTTTTTTGCAAGAGATTAAATTTCCTTTCAAAAATGATGAATGACAACATGTCTTCAACATTTCTAGAAAATTGCATTAGGTTGTGATACAGGCTATTCACAGAAAGGTAAATAAAACTAGTATTTTTTCAAGTAAAATATGGGAAATAGCTTGTGTGTGCACACTAATATAATTTCAAAAAAATGATAACCAGTGTTTTAAGTACTTTCCAAGGGCCTTCATTTAATGCTATGGTATGTCAAGAATGGGGCCTCATCACCATGTGGCTATAAGCAGCATGAATACAAAAACCTAATGTCAGCATTCTTGTTAGTTCTTCCATAATTACCATCCAATACTTCTAAGTACACCAGTATAATGCACTTCAGAAAAGAGTATCAAGGATCATAAATGAAAAAGATGTTTCCTCAATTTAAAAGTCCAGAAGTAGTTTAGGTCTTCAGACTTTTCAAGAGCCCTTTGCCATTACGTTTCATACATAAGAGACTATTAACTTTGTTAGGAAACAATGCCCTAGTTCTATTCATTATATTAGATAAAACTTTATTGCAGTACAACAAATATTCTATAGATGATTGTACAGATGAGCTCAACTATACTTTAAGTTGTCAAAAAAGGGAAAGTAATTTGTACTTTAAATCCATTTATGGAAGGCCATAAACAACAGCGTATGATAAAAATCATTTCACTGGAAGTACACTCAATATAAAATACTCATGATAAAGGAACAAAGAAAGTATAAGCAGAGATCAGAAATTGTTCAATGTTACAATAACATACAAAACATAGTTAATGAAAATATTCACAGTAGGACCTGGAGGACACCTAAGATCAATGAAAGCATTTGTAACCAAGCAGTGAGTGATTAAGGACCTGACACCTTACACTTGAAGGACAGCCTATCTTGCATTGCTACTTGTGTTCAATGTTTTGGTATTTGGGACCTATAGAATTCTGGGCACAGAGAGTAAAAAGATGTGGTGCTTGCCCTTGGGGAACTGCAAATAAGGAGGCTGTGTGTGGCAGAATAAAAACATTCTTAAGTGCTTTCATTTTCTCGCTTAAATAAGCACACAATAAAAGGAAATTTTATTTAGATACATGGAGAGCAGAATATTTCAAAGGCATATGCTGTGAATACAAAATAGATGGTTTCAATGCAGTCAAATGGATTTTGGTTATGTGCTAAAATTTATTTGTTCCTTCAGAGCTGTTAATGTGTATCAGATAGTTAAAAGCATCTACTCAAGGTTTTGACAGTGTTTTAATAACTTAACTAAAATTCCTGACATGTTTATAGGTCCTTGAGCCAGAAATAATACAAGACCTTTCAATCACTTTTGCAGAGAAAGATTAGTCAGAAAAGAAGCTGTTAAAAAAAAAAAAAGAAAGAAAGAAAAGAACAAGAAGAAGAAAGAAGCTGTTGATTTTCACTCCACATCACTGACTGATGGAAATCCAAATGGGAAACGGTAAATTACTGCCTTAGAAAATAGAGACCTTCTTGAATAAAGTTGTGGTAATTCATTATTTTATATCCCAAAGGTTGAAAAATATTCACTTTCCCCTAGAAAGGCCCTAGTTCTATTGAACTAAGCATGCCCTATAAAAATGAACCATTTATCTGATACTTGATACTTAAGTTATACTTAACATGAGCAAGTTGCATCATGTTGGAATTCAGCTGGCTATAATTAATGTCAAGAATTTTTAATCTGAGCCTTTAAGCCACACACCCTCCCCAAGGGAAATAATTTTAAAATAAACAGTGACTGACAATTAGGTGATTTTCAAACTATTTTTTCACACAAGTCATTAGTTGAATAAGACATTGTTTAGTTCCTGAAAGTCACCAATAGCCAAATTCTCATGGATTATAAATCACAGAACACAGCAAACAAATTAGCTCCACTAAAAAGGTGAAAATCGATATGTGAGGCCTAGAAACAATGACCTGTCGGTGCCCAGCCTGGGGCCTCTATATACAATTTTCCACTAAAGGAACCAGGGTTTCTGGAAGAAATGACTGATACCTGGGCTGGAGCAGAAAAGTACATAGCAAACCAGGAATATCTCCTCATAACAGAAAGCAAGAAAAGAAAATGTGAAAGCTTACTAGGGGTGTGTCAAAAGGTCTCAGGGACCAGTTTAAAGGCTCTAGTTGGCTAAAGATGAAAAAATTTGAATGTTGAAAGAATAACTGCTGTGGAATGAAACACATCAAGTATGTTTGTGAGTTTTTAATGAGACTTTTAAAAATGATTGATTGCACACCTTTGTGAATATACCAGAGACTAGTGAATTGTACAATTTAAAAGAGTGAATTTTATGGCATGTGTATGATATTTTGAATTTTAAAAAATGATCACCTTTGCAGAATGGTAGAGAACCAACTCATTGTTCTGAAAACCAGTAAAGGGAAAGGTGAAGCACTGATCCTTTATGAACTGTTCCTCAGACTAAACAAATAGCTGATGAAGGAAATTTTCTTTTAATAATTCTACAAACACATGAAGAAGACTTGATGGAATTAGAATAGAACCATTTTGCAACCCCAGGTGAATTAATGGATCTAAGCAATGATCAGCAATGGCTGCTAACCAGAGCGACAACTACACATATACCTCATGACAAAAGTACACAGAGCCATCAACTAAAAAAATCAAACCTTGGGACGCCTGGGTGGCTCAGTTGGTTAAGCTGCTGCCTTCGGCTCAGGTCATGATCCCAGGGTCCTGGGATCAAGTACTGTGTCGGGCTCCTTGCTCAGCCGGGACCCTGCTTCTCCCCCTGCTTGTGCTGTCTCTCTGTCTCTCTCTGTCTAATAAATAAATAAAATCTTTAAAAAAAAAATCAAACCTGAACCTGATCAACTCTTTAGCTCTAACTGCCAATTTACAGGAAACACAGGGAACAGAGAAACATATCAATGAAATCACAGGGATGCAATCAACAAAACTCAGATGGTGGTAAATACTATAGGACCTGCTTTCTTCAACAAATAAAGTATAGCAAAAAATTTGAGGGGAAATCAATAAATAAGGAAAGACTTAAAAGATATTATTAATCAAATGCACTGTATGAACTTTATTTCCATCTTGATTCAAACAAGTGTAAAAAAAATGAGATAGAGAAATGTGAACATTGGATTGTTGTCAACATGAACTGGATATATACTGATATAAACAATTTATTGTTAATTTGGTTTAGGTGTAATGATGATTATATCTTAAAAAGAGTCTTTATCTTTTAGAGATACATTATCAAAATATTTACAGATAAAATGATATACTACTGATGAAAGACCTATACTCTGAAAACTATAAAACACTGATAAAAGAAACTGAAGATGACACAAATGGAAAGATATATTGTACTTATGGATTGGAAGAATTAATATTGTTAAAATGTTGATACTACCCAAAGCAATCTACAGATTCAATGCACTCTCTATCAAAATACCAATAGCATTTTTCACAGAACTAGAACAAATAATCCTAAAATTTGTATGGAACCACCAAAGATCCTGAGTAGCCAAACCAGTTCTGAGAAAGAAGAACAAAGCTGAAGGTATCATAATCCCAGATTTCAAACTGTACTACAAAGCTATAGTAATCAAAACAGTATGGTACTGGCACCAAAAAAAGACACATAGATCAATGCAACAGGTTAGAGAGCCCAGAAATAAACCCGGGCTTATACGGTCAATTAATCTAAGACAAAGGAGGCAAGCATATAAAATGGGGAAAAGATAATCTTTTCAATAAATTGTGTTGGGAAAACTGGAAAGCTACATGCAAAAGAATGAAAC